TCTCACTGTTGCACTGAGGATGTTGCAACAGTGACATATACATACCCTTCTTGTGAAAAAAAAAAAAAAAAGAAGATGGGAAATAAACAGAACATACATACTTCTTTCAGAAAGGATGAATGGACAAGGGTTTGTCCATTTTAACCATGGGCAGATGTACTTTATAGATCAAAACACTTTGGGTTTCATTTCACTTGAGGGTGCGTACCCATCTTCTTTCAAGCCAAGCAGATAGAATGCTGAACTTGAAAAATATGATGGATGAATCTTTGTGAAATGATGTCTCACAGAGCCTTTCTTGAAGATCAAAATGGATAGTTCCATAGGTCAAAGGATTCTACTCTGGCCCCTGACCTCTCTGGTTATACATGGCTTACAGAATTGGCAAGTTTATATGCAAAGCTGAGTACTTTTGGCTAACATTTTATTTAGCCAACCGTACACGATTTGAAAAGAATGTAGAACTTAACTCAGTTTTCCATTCGCCTAATAATTTGTAATTAATAAGCAAATTGGCTCAGATAAACCTTTAGTTTTAGAAAGGTTTTATTTGAGGCAAAAGTACATTCTGGTTTAGGTCAGATATTTGAAAAATGTTGTCTATTTGTAGAATCTTCAGTATACTATGTATCTGTACTGATTCCATGTGTTCTACTTTAATTCTTTGTGTTCAGCATTGCCTGTCTTAGAACCCTCTGACCTAAGTCATGATCTGCTGATTGAATGATAAATGAAATATTATTTGTTAGCAAGTGCATCTATTGACTTCAAAATAAAGGCGGTTGATTCGAAATTATAGCAAATATTTATGTTGACTAAAATGTCACATCTAGCAATGAAATATGAAGGATGACAGCAATCAACAACAAAAACAAGATCTAATAGTTTATACCTTATAAACATCTCTGAAAATGATCCAGTTGTAACTACAAAAGAATAATAAAATTGAATGAAATGAGTTAAAGAGATAAAGTTTACTTTTACCAATATCTGTTCTCTTGATCATCTCCTTGATCTTCTACAAGACTGTGTGATCAAACATAGTTGTAACTTGTTACTACTTTAAGTTTAATGTGTAAATGTGTGGGTGTATGTTTCTGTATCTTTTTATTTGAATGAGAAGAAAGAATGTAAATGATTTTGTGCTATTACATCATGTTTCTGTCCTTCATAATGAAAGACAAACTCACTTTTTAATGTTACTGTACACATATGGTATGCTTCCAATTAGATATTGATGATTACTAGGGAAATTTGTGAAGTTTAAGCTAGAGTTAATTAACAACTGTGTGTATGCTTTGTCTCTTGAAATGTTGGATATTAGAATTGATTTGGGTAAATCATTATAAAAGATGCCAGAAGTTTTATTTACTTAGTGGTATGTTAGATGATAAGTTTGATCATTTTATCTTGGTAAAGCTAACAAGAGAGGTTTCCATGTATATTAGAAATGATAGAACTTTTCTTATGAGAAATTTGACGTACTTAAGGAATAATTAAATACAAAAGAAATCCTCCTTATTAGAGTGGAAATGTGTGGTTCTTTTGTGATATAAAAGTTAATACTTAATTTTATAGTTAGCTTTATAAAACTTTATTGTTATATTAATGAAAGTTCACAGTAGCTTCTCTTTTAACGTATTTTGGTTGCGGGAAATAGAAATATCAATTTTTAAATGGTATTCTTATTTTTTTTAAAGATGAAAATTAGTACTATTCTGTATGAAGTAGTTAAATTGACCTATTGATACGTATTTTGTCTCTACTTGATTATTTGCATTGAGTCCTCAGGTTCCATACATTAATGTTGATATAGCAAAAATCTTTGTAGTATACACTAAGGAGTTTCTTTACAGTGTTGTATTTGACAAAGAAAAGGTGGAAACGATTAAATTGTATTCAGTATCGCTGATGAAAGCACATAAGTGGGATAGTTAACTTTATTTTGTTACTCCTTTCTCCAACTTACTAGAAAATGACTTACGAATGGTCTCTGTGAATATTGCATTAATTAATTTATCAGAAAAAATTAATTGAAAATGTAAGCTTTTTTCCAGAATGATAATTGAATTTGCAACAAAGACACTTATTAAAATTAGCTCTCATTTCTGCAGAAAATGTTCCTGAATATTTCTTGATTGCTAATACATTAATTAAATTAGCAAGCTGAAATATCTAAAGGCTGAAATATTTTCTAAATAATTTAGATGTTTAAGGAAAAACATTCATTGTTGAAATCTAAATGATAAAAATTCTTTAATTGATTTATATAGTGGTGGTGGTGAGAATCATTTTTCATTTGTTGATGCCTCAGTGAAAAATTGATAGTGTGTCTTTATAAAATTGGACAAATGAGTCATGTAATTTTCAGTTACATAATCAATAACTTAGACAAATACTACTACTTTGGTGATTTATGTGTGTCTATATTTTATACTTACTTAGATCGGCCACATCAAATTTCAGAGTTCCTTTTAAATCAAATAAGCACAGTAATTTTTTCAATCTATGGTTTCCAAAATTGATAAAAGCACCAACAAAAGAACTTGAGCTCAGATAATCCTGATAATACCAAAGCATTCTTTATAGTGATGAAGTTATAAATTTAGAGTAACATTTTCATAATTCTGGTGACTATAGATTTTGGCTAAAAACTTCTTCACCTTTACTTAGAATTCATGCATTGTGCAGAGATGATTTTCACATTTTTAAAGCCCTTCCTTAACTCTGAAATTTTTCATATTATAAGGAAAATAAGCATATCACTATTTTCATCTCTATTTAAAGAACTCTAAGTCTATTTCGGGGCTCTCTTGTCCTAATTCATATACTCATATATAAGAAACTGTGTGTGCCTGTATGTGGTGTGTGTATAAAGTTCAATTCACTCAAAGAAGGCAGGGGAGAAACATGACAGGAGACCACTTACTCATGGTACAGAATCTAGTAAGGAGGCAATTTTCTTTTTGGCCTATGGTGACCTTTTTTGACTATGTTCCTTATACCAGAGACAGTGTACTGAATGCCTCTATTTCACCCTGTTTAGCAGAGTGCAACAGTGTTCTTTAACTTACTTTTGGTGGGAGGAGAAGTTATAGCTGAAATTTGAGAAGGGCGTGAAAAGTTGTAAGAGGCACAAGGAAGAGGGGTAGGAACTTCCTTTAAATGTGATTTTAATAACTAGCCAAGTGTGTCCAACTGTAGAAAATCAACAAGTGACAATCTGTCTACCTGACAGTGATCACAATGAATTACAAGACTTTTGAATAGCTATACAGATTAGAATAAAGCAGGACCAAATAAAATATCTTTTGTTGGTAAAACTTTGACTTACCAGCTAAGGGACCAAATAAAATTAAATAAAATTGTCTAGTGCTTTGATGAAAAAGGTTTGATTTCAAAATTAGTATTCCTTAAGCCTTGCATGAAAAACATTTATTTGAACATTTTACTTAATATTTAAATATAACTGTTGAAGAATGTAGTCTTTTGTTAGTCAGTTTGGTATATGTTAGTATGCAGATTGATTTCTCATATATAAAAGTACTATGTCTTAATTAACAGTCCTACCACTAAAATCTGAACTTCAGTGATCTTGAAAATCCCTAAAGTAAATCTGTATTTTAAACAATAGTATTATCTGATTGAATGTGGGGAGTGGGGTTTGAGGCAATCTGAATAAAGTTTGTATGTAGTTTGCAAAATCAACTGTTTAAAAAAGCAACCATGTGGAGTAATGTAACATAAATTCAAGATAATTTAATCATTGTTAATATAGACCCATTATTACTGCTTTAACTTTTAAAGTCATCTATTTATGGTAGGCTTGATATAAAGAAATTGAATATTAAACTTAAGTAGAAGATTCTGCAGTTGCACTTTTATAAAGGAATATAATTTTTAGTAAGTAGAAAATTTAATAAGCTTTATGCTCTATGCATGTGTATTTAAAAAATCTTAATATAATACGTCTTTCAACTGTGACCTTACAAGACTTTACAAGGACATAATTGGGATGACTACAATACAGAATCAAAAAGAATAACTTTTTAAGTTTTGAGTTGCACATAATATTGGTGATTGTTTATTCTTCTTTGTTTTTTCATAGTTAGATTCTTCAATCAGTTCTAAGATAATATAAGTATTAAATGCATCTTTAATTATGAAATAGAAATGTTTGCTCTGCCGGAAGTTAACCAGGCAGAAAATTATAGATTTACAAATTTAAAGTGGGGGGAGGGCACTAACAGCTCATAAGCTATGTTTCAAACTTTCAAACTTTGCATATTTCTTGGTATGAGATTTTAATAAAGAAAAGTTATAGTAGTTTAAATACTGAAAGAATATTTAAGATTCTAAAAGTCGCATCCATGCAACATAGAATGATTATATCGTTTTATGACTTGACTGGCCTTCTGAATGAGGATAGATGAATAAAATTCAGGGTGTACAAATAGACATTGTATGTTTCTGTAATATAGAGATGCAAAACTGTGGAATGTTTGATCAGGTTCATTCATTTTTAATTGCATATGTTTACAGTTTTTAAAATACTCATTAAAAAGTAATTGTAAAGGAAAGAAAATCCAACAAAATATAGTTTGAATTGTATGTGCGCTTCAATTTCAAATACTTTATTATATCAAAATTGTAAATATTAATGTGGTTTGTAGTATGCTTGTTACCTAATGGATTATTTTGTTCACTTTTGAAAACTCTAGGAGACCTGAGGTATATTTTTTAAAAAATTAATCTTTATAAGCTTCATGCTGCAATTCTAATTTTGGTTTTACAGGTAATCTGTACTTATTTACACAAACAACAAAGGGAAACAATTTTAAATGATCTTTTATTGGAAAAACAAAAGACATCATAATGTTTTCTATAGGAACATTTTAGTGAATATGCAATTTTATTAAATCACTTAGTATGAGAACTTTTTTTATGAATTAGAATGGTTCTAAGATTCATTTGCATATTCTTTTTTCCTTTCAAAACAGGAAGGATACGGCGTAATAGTAATGAACCCCAATGAAAACTATATTGAAGTAGAAAAGCCTAAGGTACATGTGCAGTCATCTTCTGATAGTTCAGATGAACCAGCAGAAAAACGGGAAAGAAAAGATAAAGTCCTGAAAGAAACAAAGAAACGACGTGATTTCTATGAGAAGTATCGTAACCCCCAAAGAGAAAAAGAAATGATGCAGTTGTATATCAGGGTAAGAGAGATCACTTTTTTTGTTCATTTTTTCCTTTTATTTAGGTTTTATTTCATATAAATGATCTTACATGCTTTTTTAAAAAAAATAGTTTTTTTCTAAGATTTTTTGGCATTCCCTAGGTGTCTAGATCTTGGAAGAAATGATTTCTATTGCTTATTCAAAATTATGACACATATCATTCCTATTGCAGCATCATATTGTTTTAAGTCACAAATGCTAATTTCTTTTGTGTCATACATCCCTTCAAAGAAAATTGTCTAAAATAATTTAATTGTACTGTTAGCAGAAAGAAGAAAACTTTCCAATCCAGCTTCTCATTGAGCTTTAAGGTATGATTCTGTTATGTTGTCCATAAGAGAGAAAGAGAGTTATCTGCAGCTAATAATTTTAAGACATATTACCTGCTGAGTTAATAAAGTATTATACGAAAAAACACCAGTCTTCATCTTGGGTGATAATAATTTTACTGAATAATAACACTGCTTTCCTTTGTGCCGCCATATTTCCACTATGATTCAAATGACCTTCAGAAAACAGATAAAGGGAGAGAAAGTCATTCATATCTTAATAAATATTTAAGCTAGAATAGTTTAGGAATAGTGTAATGAGGAACTATGTCTTTTACTCTTTTCTTACCTGGTGAACCTTTGCACTTTGCAATGCTGGCAACATGGGATCTGCACTTTGACATATTCTGCTTGATATAGTTTCTGTGCCTTATGTATATTGGAGACATAGTCATGTGATTTTCAGAACCCTTATTGTGGATTTACTCTCAAAATTTAACTTAGTGGTAAAGCATGTCAAAAATGCCACTGGGTAAGTAAAACAGTAAACGTATGTTCTTCAAGTGAGCAACTCTCAGAACACTTAAACGTAGACTAACATTTTATAAATTGTACTGTAGGGTAGTAGTAAAGTTTCAAATTATATAACTTGAGCCTTTTTATATTTACTTAACAAGACAATAAAATATTTCATACCATATTTTAAGAGAAATACATTCTTTTTAAAGTTATTTATTGTCTTTATTATGCTTCTGGTTCATGCCATTATTAAGATAGTCCTGGTGACGCAATGATTGAAGTTATCATCTGCTAATCGAAAGGTCAGTGGTTCTAACCCATCAGCTGCTCCATGGGAGAAAGATGTGGTGGTCTGCTGGCTTAAAGATTTACAGCCTTTTGAGACAGGACAGGCATTTCTATTCTGTCTTAGAGGGTGCTTTTGAGACAGAATTGACTCATTGGAAATGAGTTTTGTATCCAATGAGTTATGACAGTAAAACTAGTAAGAACTGTCTATAACTTCTCATGCCTCAGTGTGTTACACTGACCAAGAACACTCAGAGTGATTCGTGTAATTAGTTAACCAAAAGCTAGGTAGATTATATATAAAGTTCTCAAAGATATCTCACTACTTGATGTGTTACTTGATTTAAAAAAATAATGATTGGATTAGGAATTAATGACTGCCTTACGAGTTCTAATCTAGTGATAGGCTTGTTTTCTACCATTGCAACAGGGTCATTCTGCTCTATCATGTGTCCTCAGCTTTCTTTTATGGAATCCAGTCTGTCCACTTAGGTCTTATGACAGTTGTAAAAAATTATTTCTGGTATACATAGTCTATAAATTAACTATATAAGGTTTTCAAAATAGACAAATAATTAACAGTATTTACTTGCTTATGAAAAATGCAATCAAAAAGTGAATTTTGTGTTAAGTTTTTACTTGATTATATAACAGCTTTTTTGTTGTTGTTGTTGTATACCGTGTAGATTTTAATTCTATTTTCTCTTTATCTTGTCACCATTGCTTTCATTTGTTTTCTTTTGCCGCTTTAGATGTATACATTTTCTGTATTTTTCACATCTGCTTTACTTATCTTGAGTTGTTCTGGTGGTATAGGAGTTAAGAATTGGACTGCTAACAGAAATGTTGGCTATTCGAATGCACCAATCAGTCCATGGAAGAAAGAGGAGGCAGTCTGCTTCTGTAAAGATTTTTAGCCTTGGAAACTCTATGGAGCAGTTCTGCTCTGTTCTGTAAGGCCATTATGAGTTAGAATCAACTTTTCAGCATATTCTAGCATCTATTTTTTCTTACAGCAAGAGAAAAGATACTCTTGCATTGGTTGCTTCATGTTTAAGAACCTGATCTCGTTCCCTTTGTAATTTTTCTTCAGTTTTTTTCATCTTGTTTACCCTTTTCCCAATTTCATTTATTTTCTTTATCATGTCTTTCTGCCTCTTTCTCTTCCTGTCTTTGCATTTTTAATCACAGATCCAGGCTCCCATGAAAAGTGCTAAAAAAGAAATGGACAAAGATACATATGTAGATAGAATAATTTTATATCTGATAATCTTAGCTATAAAATGTTATTTCTTTCTTAATAAATATCCTTTCTGCTAAAATCTCCAAGAAATGTTCAAAATAGCAGAAGAAAGCTGACATTCTTCTAAATTGTATGGACTATTTGTTTAAAGGGGGAAAAGAGATGGTTGACTTTGTGGGAAGTGAATTAATGCTTAGGTAATTTTCATTTGGTTATTCTGATGTTCTGTTTCTCATGGTGGAATTTTCAGTGGAGCTTCCAGACTATGCATACTAGGAAGAAAGAGAAACAGGATTCTTCTGAATGTTTAGCCACTGAAAACTTTATGAACAGCAGCAAAACATTGTCAGACATAGTACTGGAAGATGAGCCCGTCATGTTGGAAGGCACTAAAAGTAAAGTTGCCTGGATGATGTGAGTGGAGCAAAGCTTTTGGGACCTTCATTCGCTGATGGGGCACAAGTAAAAATGAAGGGAAACAACTTCAGTCTGATGCTGAGCAACTCATCAAAGAGCTGGATTATATGAAGAATGTATCAGGATTGGAGGAAGACTCATTAACAACCAGAGATATGTGATTCAACATTACTTGCTGCAAGTGAAGATCAAAAACCAGTCTTCAATATGGATTGCACCTCAACATAAACAAAATGAAAATCTTCACAATGGGCCCAATAAATAATATCATGGTACACAGTATCAAAAGAAAAGATGTCAGCTTGAGAACTAAGGAGTTCTGACTCAAGCCAAAGTATTTTCAGTTGCCTCATATGTATGTGAAAGTTGAACAATAAATAAGGAAGATCGTAGAAGAATTGATGCATTTAAGTTGTGGTGTTGAAGAAGAGTGTTGAAAGTACTTTGGATTTCCAGAAGAATAGGCAAATCTAGTTTGGAAGAAGCATAGGCAGAGTGCTCTTTAGAAACAAGAACAGCAAGAGTAAGTCTCTCATACTTCAGTTATTTTATTAGGAGATACCAGTCCATGGAGGTGAACATTGTGCTTGGTAAGGTGGAAGGTCTTTATTGATGGATAAAGAGTAAGACCCCCAATGAGATATATTGGCATAGTGGCAACAGCAGTGGACTCAAGTGTAACAATAATTGTGAGGATGGTGCAGAACTGGGCAGTGTTTCTGTTGTTCTGTAGGGTCACTATGAGTTGGAACCGACTTAATGACACCTAACAATGACAACAGTATTGATCCCAATTTATAAATGAGACTATCAGTCAAAAAGTTTTAGCAATTTCTTCAACATTTAGTTCTTAATATGAGTTCCATAAGGTGGGAACTTGGTTTGTTTTACTCACTGCTGTATCCCCAGAGCACCAGAGCATAGAAAAGCACTTTGCAATGAGTAATTGTAGAGCAGGGTCATGACAATAAAATTTTTTTGAATAAATATACCAGTAGACTAGCATTAAAATCCTAAACTGCTACTGCTGTAGTTAACGAGCTCTTTCTGGTAGCGTAGTGGTTACGAGTCTGACTGCTAACCTCAAGGTCAGTAGTTTGAAACTAGTGTTTCTGTTGGAGAAAGATGAGGCTTTTTGCTCCCGTGAAGATTTACAGCCTTGGAAACTCTATGCAGGGTCGATATGACACAGCACACCACCACCACTGGTGTAGTTTTGTTTTGTTATATATATCCTGTGTCACTGTTGGATAAACACTGGACTGCTAATCACAAGATCAGTGGTTCAAACCCACCAGCCGCTCCTTGAAAGCCCTATATAGGGTCCCTATGAGTTGGGACGGCACTTACTAACAACAACAATGTCATAAAAAGTATGCGTCTTTATTTTTTTCCTTTGGGGAAACATTCAAATACACATAATTTGTCCCCTATCTAATCTAGTGACTGAGAGTATACTCTAAAACTTAATGATAAAAAGTCATATGCCAACATTCATTTTGATACCTTGATTAATCTCTCTCTCTCTCTCTCTCTCTCTCTCTCTCTCTCTCTCTCTCTATATATATATATATATATATATGTAAAAGTTATACCCTGTCTTCTTTCTTAGGTGTATCATAGTACTAAAATTACAGATGAAAATGAAAATAGGTTTTTTTTCTGACTTTCCGCAATATCTGCTTTATACACTTGCTCATAAGAGTACAGTCAGACTGCTGTACCCACTTTTCTTCTACCCTGTATATATCTGTGCTTTGTGGAATCTTTCATTTTGTTCCCTTTTCTTTTACCCACTACAAATCTTGTCCACGTTGAAGAGCTTCGTTGAAATTCTACTTCTTCCTCTCACCATAATCGCTAATTTACTTTTTATGATATCGTGGAATTTATTGTGTTTTCTGAGTTATGTGGATTTATCATGAAATGTATTTGGAGTCCTGGTGTGATTCTGTAGGACAGAGTCACAGGTTTGGCGGTTCAAATCCTCCAGCTGCTCCTAGAAAATGCTGTATAGGGTTGCTGAAGAATGACTCAATAGCACTTAACAACAACAATATTGAAATTTACTTGTGCTGTGTTGACTATGCAGATGCTTTTGACTGTGTGGATTATGACAAACTATGGATAGCATTGCAAAGAATGGGCATTCAAAAACATGTAAGTTTACTTATGAGGAACCCTGTACATCAATCAAGATGCAGTTGTTTGAACAGAATAAGGAGATACTGAATGGTTTAAAA